ATCGGGCTCCCTGCTCTGCGGGAAGCCTGCTTCTCCCTCTCCCACTCCCCCTGCTTGTGTTCCCTCTCTCGCTGTGTCTCTCTCTCTCAAATAAATGAATGAAATCTTTAAAAAAAAAAAAAAATCAGCTCCATTCATGGAAATTAAAGAGATACTATTTTCACCTTTTAGATTGATGAAACCTACTAAGTTTGATAGTCCCAGGTGTTGGCGAGGGTATCAGAAAACAAGCACCCGCCTAGACTGTTGATGGTAGTATAAATTGGTTTAGAAATCAGTCTGGAAGTATTTTATCAAAATTAAAAGCATACATGCTCTTTGACTCAGTTCTACTTCTAGAAATTATTCTACAGATAAAGTCATCCAAGTGCAAAAGAGTTTTATTGTGGGCGCCTGGGTGGCTCAGATGGTTGGGCGTCTGCCTTCGGCTCAGGTCATGATCCCAGAGTGCTGGGATCGAGTCCCGCATCGGGCTCCCTGCTCGGCGGGGAGTCTGCTTCTCCCTCTGACCCTCTTCCCTCTCGTCTCTCTCTCTCTCTCTCTCTCTCTCTCTCTCCCCCCCTGACTTTCATGAATAAATAAATAAAACTTAAAAAAAATTTTTTTTTTAAATTTAATTTATTTATTTCAGAGAGAGAAAACACGAGAGGGAAGAGGGTCAGAGGGAGAAGCAGACTCCCCGCCGAGCAGGGAGCCCGATGCGGGACTCGATCCCGGGACTCCGGGATCATGACCTGAGCCGAAGGCAGTCGCTTAACCAACTGAGCCACCCAGGCACCCAAAAAAAATTAAAAAAAAAAAAGGGTTTTATTGTAACATTGTTAGTAAAACCAAGAAATCAGAAATAACCCAAAAGCCATAATTGAAAACTGGTAAGATAAATATAGTACCTATATGTGCATTGATATGAGGAAAATAATATAGAAGAATAAGCTATCATTTTTGTTTAAAAAGAAGATTATGGGGGCGCCTGGCTGGCTCCGTCAGTAGAGCATATGACTCTTGATCTCAGGATCCTGAGTTCAAGCCCCACGTGGGGTGTGGAGCTACAAAGAGAGAGGGAAGGAGGGAAGAAGATAGAAGTAAAAAGTAAAATAAAAAGATTGTGTGTGTGTGTGTTTGAATTTAGAATTATAGAAGGTTATTGAAGAAATAGTTTTAACAGTAAGTACCTTTTGGAAGTGAAATGTCTTCTGGGAAGGAGTGATAAGGAAAAGAGACTATTCATTATATATTTGTTATTGAAACTACTCTATCAATGAATTATAATTTTTTAAAGCTTTTATTTATTTATTTATTTGACAGAGACACAGCAAGAGAGGGAACACAAGCAGGGGGAGTGGGAGAGGGAGAAGCAGGCTTCCCGCGGAGCAGGAAGCCTGATGCGGGGCTCGATCCCAGGACCCTGGGACCATGACCTGAGCTGAAGGCAGACACCCAATGACTGAGTCACCCAGCCACCCCTTGAATTATAATTTAAAAAAAATTTTTTTTTGAAGTTCCAACCAAGGAATACAAAATTCTGTTTAGCAAACTTTGTAGATTCTTAATTCTTGTGATCTTTTTTTGAAAATCCCTTAACCTCCATCAGTCTCATTAATAAATAAGACTATGGATACGTTGCCCTACTTCAGAGGGTGGTTGGTTGTTTTTTGTTTTTGTGGGGCTTTTTGACATAATATATGAGGCAATTTGGGAAAAATGAACTAACATGGAAATGTAAAGCATTCTAAGAACAGAGGTGGAAAGGGAAGGATATGGGGAGAATAAAGAAAAGAGGCAAAGGAGGAAATTCTGTTGGGTTCTGGGAAAAGTCTGGTAAGAACTTTATGACCTCCTGCCATTCATTTGAACAACTTGTTCTTCTCAAACCTAACTTGTACATTGCACCTTTTCTACAGTTGCTTTGTCTTCTGCTTCACAGCTGTCAGAGTGATTGGTTGGTATTTAATAACAAGAAATCATAAAGATAAAATCGTTTTATATTTTAATTTGTAAATTGCTCCATTAGGCAGATTCAGTTATTTGCAGGTTTGTTTATACTGCTCTTAAATATCTTCTACATCTTTTTTTAAATATACATCTGAACGTGGCCATCAGAAAATTTGAGAGACCTTTGTCCCATACAAAAGTATTTTTAAATACTTCCAGTATATTAGTGCATATGCTGCTTCTTTCTCTGACGTCGCGGTGTTTGTTAAATGTGTGCTTATTAGTGTTATCTCATTTAAAATGGGAAAGTTAACCAAGTGGTATTCATTTAAACATGCTTTATAGAGTATTAAATGTGAGCGCCTAATACTTTTAATTATATCATAGCATTAGAACTCAGTCTGAGTTACGAGTCTTAATCTTCATCTCTGTTTTTCAGACAAATGTAGTAGGACATTCTTTAGGATGTACTTGGCATTCCTTGAGGAATTCTCCTGGTGAAAAGATCAACTTACTGAAAAGGAGCCTCCTCAGTATTCCAAATACAGATTACATCCAGCTGCTTAGTGAAATCGCCAAGGAACAAGGTTTTAATATAACATATTTGGATATAGGTATGATTTTTTTTCTTTGGCTTACCTCAAAACCTGTTTTTAAAATGTATTTCAGAAACAAAGCCTGTATTACAATTTATGTCACTCACCAGGGATACTGAAATGGTGTGTGTGTGTGTGTGTGTGTATGTATATACTTCTCACACGCATATATATTCATATATATAAAATTAGAGCAGTTCTATTTATCACTGATATGTCCCATTCTTAATAATAATAGCTAACATCTGTATAGTTATAATAATAATAAAAAACAGCAGCTAATATTTATTGTTTTGATTATAGACCAGGCCCTGTTTTAAGGATATTACAGAGTTCAGCTCACTGAATTCTCAAACTAATCCTGTGAAGTTAGGTCTATTATCCTTACATGTGAGGAAAGGAAGGAAGGCACAGAGAGGTTCAGAAACTTGCCTGAGATGATGTAGCTGGTTAGCGGTAGAGTCGGATCAGGGGAGGTGTCCCTGCAGATACAGTGTCTGTTAAACTAGCCCTGATGGAGAGCTTGACAAATAAAAAGGCAGCCATGTTTCTAGAGCAAGCACTAAGTTTGTGGGGGCCAGACCCCTTCTCTCCACTTTGTCACTGTTTGCCAATTGAAGGAGATCAGTGGGGACAGGTACTTTAGACCGTCATTCCATCCCGCTGTCCTCGTCTATATCTCCTCTAGCCCTGAGTCATTTAGGTAGACAAATGTGGATAGATTAGAAAGCAAGTCACTTTGGATTTTAATTTGCTTTTTAAAGCTGACGTGCGTGCATGCATGCGTGTGTGTGTGTAGTATGTGTGCACGCACACAAGTGTTTGGTGTCTTGATTTAACATCAGTGTAATTTGTGAAGAATTTGATATCCTTTGTTCCATCCTCAGTGAGCTGTGGGGACCCAGCTGAAAGGAGCTGCCAGCTCTGGTGTGTAGGTGTTTAAAGAATTTCTGATTTTTCTCTGCTACTTGAGAATTGACTGATGGGTCGAGTACAATGTTTTAATGTACTGAAAATGAGGCCGAACCAGGAATTTAGTACAGACACCTGGTCAGAAGAGGTGGCTGACGGAAGACCATTCATTCAGTAAATAGTTATTAAAGTACCCACACTTTTTTAGGTGTTTAAGACACAGATGAATAAGCCATGTCATGAATAGGACTATGGATGGTTGGATCTGGGAAAAGAAGGAAACTTGAGATGGCTTTTGAGATTATGAATTAATGATGCCTTTGAAATGCATCTTACCAATTTTAAGAACTAAGTTCTTCTAAATATAGAACAGTCTAAAAACCACAGCTAATTCGGCTAACTTCTGTGCCATTACCTTCAAAAGAACCTAGACATCCTCCAAAACAAAAAAGATATAGAAGTGGCCAACAAGCTCACAAACAGATGCTCACTATTCTTAGTCATCAGGGAAATGCAAATCAAAACCACAGTGAAGTACCAATTCATACCCACTGGGATTACTGTGAAGAAGAAAATAGAAGATAACAAATGTTGGCAAAGACGTAGAGAAGTTGTAGCCCTCCCACACTGCTGGTGGAATATAAAATGGTTCAGCCACTGTGGAAAATGGGAGCTTTGCAGCTCCTCAAATGAGTTACCGTATGACCTAGCAACTCTACCACCAGGTATATCAAAACAATTGTAAACTGGTATTCAAACAAATACCCACATGTTCACAGTAGTACTATTCACAATAGTTAAAAAGATGGAAACAGCCCAAATGTCCATCAACGGATGAATGGTTAAATCAGTTGTGGTATATATGTGCAATTAAATATTCAGCCATGAAAAGAAATGAAGTTCTGATACATGCTACAACATGGATTAACCTCAAAAACATACTAAGTGAAAGGCAAGACACAAAAGGGTCATATTATATACCATTTAAATGAAATGTCCAGAATAATTTACTCCATAGATTGGTGGTTGCCAGAGGGGCTTCGGGGTAGGGGAGATGGGGAGCAACTTTTTTATGTGTATGGTGTTTCTTCTTGGGAAAATGAAATGATGAGAATGTTTTGTAACTAGATAGAGATGGCAGTTGCCTAACATTGTGAATGTACGAAATATATTACTCAATAGTTCACTTTAATACGTTGAGATTATGTTATATGAATTTTACCTCAATTTAAAAGGGAAAAAAAAAAAGCTCGATGACAGAACTAGAAAGCCTCTTCACACATTAAAACACCTCCACTGTATCTGGAGGTTTCCTATTATATTGACTCTAGCAGAATAACATTGAATCGTGGCCACTTTTAACAAATTGTAACTCATCTGTTTCTACCTCTTTCCTTTGTGTCATCTAACCATCTTTAGTGACAGTGATTCATCAGTTGATGAGAAGAACATTTGTTTCCTGAGCGTAGGTACCGTATATACAACATGGAACTAGACTGTCTGCACAGATGTAGAATGAACGAACGTGAAGGCAAAAGAGAGGTCTTGCCCTGAGCCATGTATTTCCTGGTTCAGACATCTCCTGACGGTAACCCTAGACTTCATAGTGAAAAACACCCTCTCTCCAGTGCTCTAGCCGATGGTCTTTTTCCCTCTAAAAAAAGTTGGCTACAGTTCAGTTTGCAAACACTGCTCAACTAGCCACATTAGAATGGCCTTGGGAAGCTTTAAAAAAGAAAATGTAAGAATCTGGCTCCTCCCACCGCCAACCCTGCGTTTCTGTCTGAGCAAGCTGGAGTGAGGCCAGGGCACCTGCATTTACGTTCCCTCAGGTGGTTAGGAAGCACAGCTGTGTTTGAGAACAACTAGTGCTGAGCAGTTGTGTTTTGGTTTTTGTTTGGAGAAGAATGATAAAGATGGTGAGGGAGTGGAGTAGTATACCATAGATTTATACTGTAGTAAAGACTGTAGGAAGGAAGACTGTAGTAAAAACCTGTTTTCATGAAGGATCTGCTTTCTCTACACTTGGCATTAACTACCATGTTTGAACGTGTCATTACAGAAGAACTGAGCGCCAATGGCCAGTATCAGTGTCTGGCCGAACTCTCCACCAGTCCCATCACAGTCTGTCACGGCTCCGGGATCTCCTGCGGCAATGCACAGAGTGAGGCAGCTCACAACGCTCTGCAGTATCTAAAGATAATAGCAGAAAGAAAGTGAGCCCGAAGCAACCCCAAAAGCCCTCGGTAGCACATAAGAAATCCCCCTTCAGCCCTTTCCGAGTAAAACATTTACTACACTTGAGTTTGTGTGGTGTTTCTAAATTTCTTCATAGCTTCCATCAACACTCCAGGTTTAATGATCTCCTAGTAGTTATTAAGCTCTTTTTAATGGCTTCAACTTTGTATTGGTATACTGTATTTATAAACTTTGTACCATAAGCAGAGTGTAGCACCCAGGTTACAATGCCATGTACATACAGGGAAGAAACTGCATGTTCGTCACTGATGATGAAGATGAAGATGTCAAAGAAACAACACTGCTAGCAACAGTCGTTCTTACTGGTGCTTAACCTCTTTGCGCAAGGCTTTGTACAGGGAATTCGAAGGAAGCCCCTTAGAGTTGGGAGGAACACGCTAACAAGCGTTTATTGAATGTGATTATTGAATTTCAGGGAACATGATTGGTCTGCTGTGCATTTGAATCCATGTAATAAAGAGCTGTTGTTGTAACAGGTTCCACTCGTTTTATTAAAGCATTACTGACCTGACCATGGCCCCTTCTTTGTAGCCATTCTTGGGAGTGACATGATGTGGATGCTCTGTTACTTACCTATATCTAGTGTACTTCTCAAAGTCAAAGTTGAAAAAACACCCACGGTCTAAGCAAAAACGTACAAATAATGTATATGTGATGAGTCCCTTCTGTATTTTCTCCAAACAAATGCAACATTGTCTATTTCTTTGACATAACCACTCGTGTGGGAGTTAGCAGTTGAAAAAGCATTAGTAAAATTACAAAAACAAAACTTCCCAGTACACTTCAGTTACAAGAGTGTTTCAAGCAAAGCAATGAGTGATTGAAAGGAGATCAGCCTCAGGAGCAAATTTTAATTTTGCCTTTTATGTTTCCATCTATCATCAGTGGTCCCTCTGCCAGCACCAGTGGATACGGCTACTCTTACAGATTAGATGGAAGTCTCAGGCCTATTTTCAGAACTCAGGGAAAGCTTCAGAGAGCAAGAGAGCTCTAAATGATAAAGGCAGGTTTTGACTATCTCAAGGGTTAATCCAGCAGAAGTATACAAGTATTTTTCTGTCTGGGGAAAAAAAAAATCATACCTGAGTGGAATCCTTTGAGAAGAATAAAACATGATAAAGGAAAACCAATGCATGTAACTTCTAAAGAGCACATAGTTTCACATTATCAGCTGTATATGTCAATTAAATCATGGAATTTTAGGCTCTGTTTTTGATAAGGTTAAGGACTACACAGACTAGAAACAAAGTTTAGGCATAAACAGGAGCTCATAGGTCACTGGACCGATCTTAGGTTTTTAGGAATGCTCTGGAATAAAGAAAGGGCACAGTGAGCTTTAGAGATGACAGACTTCTGCACAGTAAAATGCTGACTTCAGAAAGGATACTTGGAGGAAAAATTTCATAAGGCATTGGAAGAAGAGATCCCAGTGGGGGAAAGGACAATATAATTCAGTTCGAAACAGTACTGATGAAATGAGCATCTGAGTCTAAGGTGCCCAGAAGTCCCACTCTTCCTGCTGCCTAGGTTTTCCCTGCTTCTGGCTCTGGAGGAAACATGCATTTTTATTTCTTTTTAATATTTATTTATTGGAGTGAGCGCACAAGTGGGAAGGAGGGGGAGAAGTAGACTCCCAGTGGAGCAGGGAGCCCGATGCGGAACTCGATCCCAGGACCCTGGGATCATGACCTGAGCTGAAGGCAGACGCTCAACCGACTGAGCCACCCAGGTGCCCCGGAAACATGCATTTTTAAAAGATACTCTTCAAATGTCACCTCTGTTGGAACTTTCGAGGGTGTTAGGTACACCAGCAGGGGGTGATCTTTAATAGCATTTCGTTCACCCCTTTGCTAAGGCTTTTGACCTGTCAAATAGGTCTTACCTGTTAACCACATGATGTGAATTTTTCCAAATAGGCTTTGGACAGGCAATTCTGCCACAACCATCCTTATGGCATCAGTTCTAACCTGTGATAGGCATCAAGTGATGAATAAATGATAAAGATAGCAACAGCCCAATATGATGGTAATATGAATTCAGTAAATGACGAACACGGATGTGCCCAGTGCTCTAACAGGCTTCTGGGATACAGTATTGACCAACATTACATTATGTGAGAAAGACCCCCTCCCCTGCTCTCAGGGAGGGTTGTGGTCCGCCACACAGTTTCCTCTCCAGTACTGGGCTTGTTTCGCCTGCCTGGGGAGCGCTGCTGGCAGACCCCCCTCAGCTGTCAGATCTCTGACTCAGAGAATCACCTCACCCAGTGTCACACTCCCTTCCCAGCAGCCAGCATTTGCATTCAAAGTGTGGTCCCCTTGTCCATCTGGGGACAATCTGAAAGGCCATCCAGCTTCAGAGGTCCCGTCCCCCCAGGGTCAGCTGAGGCCTTCTTGAGATTACATCATAGCCCATATTCTCCCTCTGCCCAATGGAGCTTCCTTTCCTTCCACATGTGGCAATCCCAAGAGCACCCCCTAATAAACTGCCTACCTACCAGTCTCTATCCCAGAATCTGCTTTCCAAGGAACCCAACCTACGACACTTGTACCAGAAGCACTACAAGAAAGCAGATACTAGAACTGGAATTTGGAGGGGTTCTTCTGCCACTTGGCTTACCAGAGGAGACAACCACCCTCCCCCCTGGTGGTAGTTGGGACACAGATGTCCCCTTGCACGCAACATGATGGTGCACCGTAAACAGTTTGACCAGTACTGAACTAGGATAGGGTGCCAGTGGTGGGCACGATGTATCAGACAGTTGAGAAATATGAAGTGAAACAGTAAGGACAATAGAATTGACTGTTAGTGCTAAGCTCAAATGACGTCCTGGGAAAAGATAACAAAAGAAAGAATGATTAATTGGCAATTAAATGAAGAATTTTAAGACAGAGGCAGCAGAGTATTAAACTAAGGGTGAGGCCTTTGTAAGCATGGATCCCTGTGTAACTGACTATACAAGTCACACATCCGTGGCCCCAGCTATCAGCCCTGGCAAGTCATTTAGACGGTGAAATGAGTCACTTCATTCAAGGGTGATCACATCCCCTTCCTTTGGCAGGCTGAATCCAGTGACGGGCCAACAAAGATCTGACCCTTCTGCTCTAATTTGGGACAATCCTAAAGGGCCATTCAGCTTCGGGGTTTCTCATGGGGTCAGCTGAGAATTTGGTTGAGACTATATTACAAGCCAATTCCTCTGTCCAATCTCCATTTCTTCCCATTCTTTCCACGGATGGTGATCCGTGGGATCTATCACCCAAAACCATTTGCTAAATAAACCTCCTGCTCCAGCCCCACTGTCTCCTTCTCGGAGTCTGCCCCCTCAGGAGCCCAACTAAAGCTAGAGAGTATAACTTAGTGAGAAAAGATATTAATAGAAAAAAAATCAGATCAACTCTGTAATTTACAAATCACACAAAATTACAACTCTGAAATACTCTAGTTTCTCTTTAGACATATCTTTTGCCTTTTACTAAAATTTCTAGAGGAAGGCCTGGCTGTGAATCTGTAGGCAGTTTTTTCTTTTGTGAGCCTCTGTGGGTGGTCTGCATATGGGCTCCAGTGGCAAGGAGTATTTGCATTTGGAAAACATTCCTCCTGACATCTAAAGGATATGTAGGGTATGAAATATAAATTATCCTAATTTGAGGACAAACCCCACCATGAGTAAGCCCACATCTAGAATAGTAGTGTACTTCAAGGGTCAAAGAACAGTTAAAAATCATGAAAGTGCCCATATTGTACTATGAGTTCTAGAAAGTATAGATTCCCAACCCGAAAGCTCCAAGTATTAGAACAAAGAAGCGGCTCTTAATCGATGAGGAGAAAAGTGAATTTATTTGGACACAAAGTATAGCTTTACCTGAAAAATTGCAAACTTGTGGAAATTATTGAAGGCATGGTCCATTCTGAACATTTTATTCACTTGACAACCCATGCAGAATTATTCACAGATAGGCAATCATGATGGCTTTCTGCCCCCGGATAAAGCTGATAACAAAAAAGGGAAGTTTGATCGAACTCATGGATACCTAGAACAGATTGGTGGTTGTCAGAGGTGGGGGGTGGGTGTGGGTGAAGTGCATGAAGGGGGTCAGAAGTCATAAGCTTCCAGTATAAAATAAATAAGTTATGAGAATGTAATGTATAACATGGTGACTATAGGTAGGAATACCGTATTCTGTATTTGAAAGTTGCTTAAAAAGAGATCTTAAAAATTCTCATCACAAGGGGCACCTGGGTGGCTCAGTCATGAAGCGTCTGCCTTCAGCTCAGGTCATGATGGGATTGAGTCCCACATCAGGCTCCCTGCTCGGCGGGAAGCCTGCTTCTCCCTCTCCCACTCCCCCTGCTTGCGTTCCCTCTCTCGCTGTGTCTCTCTCTGTCAAATAACTAAATAAAATCTTCAAAAAAAAAATTCTCATCACAAGAAAAAAAGTTGTAACTATGTGTGACGATGGATATTATTAACTGGACTTATTGTGATAATTTTGCAACATATACAAATACCAAATTATTATGCTATACATTGAAATGAATATAATATTATATGTTGATTATACCCCAATTTAAAAAAAGAGCAAAGGAAAAAAGAAAGGAAAGTTTGGGCTTATTGGAAGATAACAGTAAAGCAAGCCTTGATTTAATATATTTAATTTAACATTTCCTGATCTCTTCGTTTCCCTTTGTAATTGTTTTAAGGTTAGTTTATCAAATGGGTCATTTACGAGAACATGTGCAATGATTAGACAGGTGCTACTCAGTTAATCTGAACATCAGACAGGCCAGGGTCAAAAGAAAGGAATATATGCTTGTTTGCTTATCTGGTTGTTTTTGTTTTGTTTTGTTTTTTTGGTCTGGGGCAAGAATGGGGTGGAAAGACGACCTGAACAGTCTAGTTCTGCTTCCTAGCTTCATCAGACTGAGTGCACGCCTGCAATGTGTCTATTGTATTTTGTGCCAGTAGATACAACTGAAGTTTGGAAGAAATTTACATATATCTCAGGAAAAAAAAGAGGCAGAAGACAGAAGCAAACTATTTCTTTTTTAAAATTTAAATTCAATTAATTAACATATAGTGTATTACTAGTTTCACAGGTAGAATTTAGTGATTCATCAGCTGCATACAACACCCAGTGCTCATTCCATCACGTGCCCTCCTTAATGCCCATCACCCAGTTACCCCATCCCCCACCCACCCCCCTTCCAACAACCCTCAGTTTGTTTCCTGTGGTTAAGTGTCTCTTATGGTTTGTCTCCCTCTCTGATTTCATCTTGTTTTATTTTTCCCTCCCTTCCCCTGTGATCCTCTGTTGTTTCTTGAATTCCACGTATAAGTGAAACCAAATCATATGGTAATTGTCTTTCTCTGATTGGCTTATTTTGATTAGCATAATATCCTCTAGTTCCATCCACGTCGTTGCAAATGGTAAGATTTCTATTTGTTTTTTTTTTTTTGGATGGCTGAGTAATA